TTATTACAAAACAGTAACTTCAGGTAACACACTAAAACTCTACTTTGAGGTTTGCATTTAATGAAGGGATTCCCTAGTGTTAAAAGACAGCTGTTTCCAGAATTCTGATCATTCTGAGTCTCTCTGCTTATTCTGTCTACCCCTAGAAAATGGAGAGTGACAAAAGAGGACAAAGGACACCCTGCAGTAGAAGGACATCAGGAGTAGAAGCCACCAAAGAGCAACTTTTAATTAATGCGATCCAGACTGGACTCAAACTGGTGATGTACTGCTGAGGAATTCTGTCAAGCCTTGCCTTAAAAGAATTCAGACAATGTAGAGTGCTAAAACTTTTAAGACCCATCTAGATCTTCTATAAGTGAAGTTTCCAACATATTGACACCTCGTGATTGCTTCACAAGACATCCTCTGGCAGCAATTCCATCTGGGTCTGCACCCTCCACCAGTTACTTACTCCTCCTTCGCTGTCACAGCATCACCCTTTGCTGTCAGTTCTGACATTGTGTTTGAGGAGTCACGCTATCAGCTGCTCAATAAAGGAACTTGGGGTTACAAAAAAGAAAGAAAACCTCTCAAAAATGGTAGAGAGGCAGTCTTTCTGGTTAACCAGGGAATTAGCAGGATACAGTTGGATTGTGAGTTTAATGATAGATTGGTTTGAGCAAAGTGCAAGCATGAATAAAGTGATAAAATGCATCTGGAACCCAGCATACTATTATTCTGAACCTCACGTCATCACATAGTGTCCTATAGACACATAGACCTATGTGTCCCATCTACAAGTTTCATGTCCCACAGCTGCTCAGTTTGGCAATGGCACCTCAGGTCCAAATCTAAAAATGGTACTCATACACCCAGGCTCTCACTGAAAACCGGCTGTTATTCCTAGTGAAGCATATCTCTGTCCACAGGCAGTTGATGGCTGCATCCAAGTCTGTAACATAATGCAGCATAATGCATAAGAAGCACGATTTAAATATGTGTGGGGTTTTTTGTTTGATTTTTTTTTTTTTTTTTTAGTTTATAACCCCAGTGTTAAAATATGGTGAGAATATTCCATGCATGGGGCACTCTTAGAGTAACACCTCTTCACATACAGTTAACTGTAGCATTTCATAGTTCTTCCAGCTAGAAATAATGCCATCAAATTTAAATTAGAACACAGCAATTTTTGGAATAATCTTCCTTCATTAACTATATTATTGTGCTTTTATTCAATGTTAAACATATGGACATGACAATTCTCTATAGTCTGTTCCCTGGTAAATAGTCAAAGCTGACAGGAAATAGGAATCTCCACCTTTGCAACCACACCTTTGTTTTTAAAAATTAAATCCAAAACCCCCTATGTCTACAGGCAAGAAACTCCAATAAGGTAACTGGTTAATTACTGCAAACAATGTTTTATACTAGTTAACTGTATCACTAAATATTTTTTGTGGTTTTGAAGGATTATCTCCCATGCATGGAAAAGATCTTCCAGTTTTAGAAATCAATGGAAATAACTGATTTTAGCCCAGTAAAATAACACACTGTAAAGAATATCTCATTTGTTTGTAGCCTACCTGTATAGAGCTCATTGCATCTTAACTCAAATGTCTGAACACAATTCCAACCATGTGCCACTTGAAAGTACATTTCAGCTAAAACCACTGTAAACTCAAAGCTGACTGCTTTTGTAGCAAGAAATACCCTAATGAACATAAGAATGCATAGCCAGTAAAAGAACTTAAAAGGAACTTCTATATTAAAGAAATAAAAGTCTTTATTGAAAGAAACAATAACCCCTACTCAGTATTTTGTACTCAATCACAATTTTCCTTCTTTCTAAATATCTACATTGCTTTACAATATGCCAAAAATGAGGCTTCATTTCTCTTGTTCCTTCAGAAGAACCTACTTCACAGAAATACAAAGCAGAAAGAACCTTCCACCTAAAGTACTTAATTTCCACTTTAATGCAGTTGTCATTTACCCCATACCCTTCTGTGCACTAGTTATAAAACAGTTAATATGAATAGTATGTGTTCTGTGTGTCTCTCTGTCATCCTGAAGAATACCAGCTTTTAAAACATAACCACTCTTTCAAACAGAAAAGAAACACACCCTGCTTCTGCACAGAGCTTAGCAATTGATAACAAAGCTTTTCCTCGGTCATTTTCTTTCTACATATGCCTCCTGAACTGGAAAGCCTGAAAAATTTCTGCACCTGTCTTAAGCCGTACCGAAGTCTAACAGTGCGCTAAAATTCCAGCCAGAGTGGAATGAGAGCACAGAGCCCCTGCATGAAAAAGAGCCACAAAAATTGAAGTCTGAAGTTTGTTTTAAATGTTTGAAAAAAAGGAGAAAATTTCTATAGTATGCTATAATTTCAAAGCTGCAAAAAAATTTTTAACATGATAAACCCCACAATATTCTTTACACATAGGGCTGCCTCCCTTACAACATGCTATCAGCGATCCTTTTCCCATTTTCTCAGACAAGACGCACATAAAAATGGAAATGAGACAGGTAGTGGCAAATTTAAGAAAACAGAGCATCTAAAGAGCTATACTACAAATTAATTTGCTTTGGATGCTGTCTAGCTAAAATTCTGGATTTCTGTTAGCAGCTTTTAGCAATGATAGATGTTTCTAGTATTCTGTCGCCTGATGCAGCATGTCTCTGCAGTAAGAGGCTGGCGGAGACACAAACAGCAGAACTGCCTTACCTTTATTTGTAATTACTGCTGATTATATGTCAAGTTCCATACTTCCCCCAAAAGAAAAAAGCCTCAACACAATATATAAAAAAGGATTTTATAAGGATATGTACCGAGAAACAGAGAATTTTTAAAGAAAGGGACAGACAAAAAAAGCCCACAGCCTATGAATTATAAAGTCCGAGAAAGAGAATTATGGGAATACTAAGAAAAATAAGTTATTCACTGAAAAAGATACAGGATGGTAATAAAACTTAAGGTTCATCAGAATGAACCTCTACTATCTTTGTTTAATTTCCAGAATCACATCTCCCTTAATCTGCTTCCACCTTTATAATAGCATGGGTCATTGAGTCCATTTTGTATGGATTATATAAAGACATACAAAGAACTCTGTTCACCAGACTTGTGATATCTGTACTGTCAGTGATTTCAAATAGGCCTATTCTTCTCTCAAAACAAGGACTCTTCATCATTACTTTTGTTAAGGCATTGTAAAACAAGCTTAATTTCCAACAAACTTCAGGACAGATAAGATCCTCAGCACCTTGCAAACAAGGAAAATACCTTGAAAATGATTGCAGACTCTTAGATGGGAATATAGCTGGTCTATTTCAGCCTGACAAGTAACACTAAAACTAAGATTTCAAAATAACTCTATCAATCCATTTTATCTCCTTGACTTTCCTAAAAGAGCACAAACTCACTTTTAGCGACACTTTAAAAGGATGAACTTTATAACAAAACCATTTTGTAACTCTCCATTGGTGATGTATCGCTCCTGTTCTTCTGAAGCATGAAGTACTTACATAGCATACAATCATCCAAAAAGAGAAGCTATGTTTGATTTCTTTTTATTAGAAGAAATCAAACCACTCCTTTTTTCACAACTGGATAACTACACAAAAAGACAAGTCTAGATGCAAAGTTCTCCAAAACAGACTAAGCCACAAAAATTGAAGTTTGGTTTTTTTTAATGTTTCCGGAGAAAGTAATGAAGTCATGAAAACCCTAGGCACGTACAACACTAGAGTAAGATGGCTCAAATTCTACTTAAGTCCACATAGCCAGCATTTTCTATCATCTCACTGGTTTTGGACCTTCAAATGTATTTAGTCAGTTAGGGACATAGGTGGAATTCAGACCTCTCAAATCTTGACCAGATAATCTGCATTACCTTCCATCCAGACAGAAACATTTCTAGTGCATAGCCAAACTTTACTCACCATTACTACTTCCAAGCTTTCCCCTTCAAACTGTGCATTCAATGGACCTGTGTAGACCTGAAGTGGCATGGACTGGCCACTGCCTGGACAAGTTCAAGATTCGACACTCAGCATAGCATACTTGCCATCTCTGAAGGCTTTCACAAGGCCAAAGTCCAGCCTGCCTACAAAACAACCATATAGAACGAGAGTACTTCATGTAAGCTCTTAAACCAGCTATATATATATGCATTTGCTTGGTGAAAAAATGGACAAAGACCTTAAAAATTACAATGATTGGCGCAGAGGAAGAAAGAAAATAAATTAATGCTGAGCAAAAAAGATTTCCAGACAAGCCTACAGTACTAGCAAGGCAAGGGAACCAGAAGGAGCAGACCCTCACATGCTTCTTACTACCCTGCTATGCACTGATCATTTAATGGATTGTAAAGGTATAGCATAATTTTAGTCATCTGCAGAGAGTGACAGTACACCTATTCAGTACACCTGCAAGTAGCAGAAAATAGTCAGTTCCATGACAGACAAGCACATACATCAGATTTGCTATGGAATGCTGCTCTCAAGTCTAGATACCACAACAGAATGACTTCCATTCTCACTACGCAACCAAAGTAGCGGGCTGCCAAATGAAAAGCAACGGAATTCAAGACACATCTAGACAATACTGTACTGAATACTGAGGAAAAGCCAGTCATCACAGTTCATGCACAGATGAAATACTAAAATAAAAATTTTACTTATAAGTAAGAAACTGGAAGTGCCACAACAGCATTCTCTGAAGTGTAGTCAGCATCACATTTGACGCCAAGCAGACAGGCAGAATCTCTGTGTGCAGTGAAAAATTTGGTGCATGAATGACAGTTCTGGCTTACTAGAAATGAGGAAAAAGTTCTTGAAGTGACACAGCTGATGCAAAGAGGAGTGAAAATCCAAATAAAATCCAGTAAAGCCAATAAATACCAAGCCAGAATGCTAGCTGTTAGGAAAAAAACAACAACCAAGGGCAACTACAACATGGGGATAAAACTTCAATTAATATTTATAAGAAGGCTAATGCACAAAATGTGTAACTTACGGAGAAAAAAACCCATGACGACTAAACTGTATTTATTCGGGGGGGGGGG